AGTAAGACACCAGAAATTAGCATTCTTTGAAAGAAGATTATTTACACTTGATTTAGCAAGGAAATTGTGTGAATGTGAATGTTCATGCAGCTTTTGGTGCCTTGAAAACAAACAAACAATTTTTACAATACCTTGTGGAACACCAATGGGAAGAATGGTTTCATATGCTGTTGTTTGTTGTCATTCAAGTAATGCAATAGGTGTAACATAAATACTGGTATTAGTATTATTTGGTTTGTTAATTTTTGGAGTGAAATGCAAGTACACTATATACATTGTAAAGATTATGTTAACAAATTGATTCTATATTTTCAGAAGTGTGATGGCTCCACCAGCAGGTGGTAAAAATTTTATCATTCCGACTTCCCTGTTGGATGATATTATAAGGTATGTTTTGTGATTTTTTCTACTCTTTACAATTCTGTTCTGTAGTTATACATTTACAGAAAGTTTTTTTATATGCACACATTTTTATGGTTTGTAGCTCTGTCTATCTCTCTGTCTATTTATCGGTCTACCTATCCATCCATCCATTCATCTATCCGGCTACTGAAAACAAACCCACCCATCTGTCCATGCATGCATGCATCCATCCATCCATCCATCCCCCACCCATCCACCCACACATCCATCCATCCATCCATCCTATCTATCCATGCATCCACATACCTATCCATCTATCTATCTATCTATTCATCTATTTTTCCATCTATCCATCTTCACACATACAGTAGCATAATTACTAAATTTGGCCAGACAGAAATGAGTAAATGTAATTCCATATAAATGTTCATTGCAACAAATGTAGAAAAAGGCATGAAAGAGAACGAATATCTTCACACCACAGGAGATGCATGTGACCAGTTTCAACTATATAATTTTCATGTATTTTTGATGAGGGTAGAGTGGTGTGCAGATTCTCATTCATACCTTTTTCTGTGAGTGAGTTGTCTGTCCAGCTGTCAGAAGGAAATAACTGTGTGTAGTCCATATATTTATGTTGTTATGTTGATATTAACAAGATAATTGCATCAACAGCCGGTTTATTTACGATGCCCCAGAGTCAGAGGTGAAGAAGCCCATCTCGCTGTGCTTTCTGATGGAAATGGCCTATTGGTTCTACCTGGATGAATATGTTGAAGAAGATGACTCACTTAACAACATCAAGTTTGATCTCTTTGCTCAACAGTTACTCAGTGTATGAAAATGTTTGAAAGTTTATTTGTTGATATATGATTAGCATGTGATACAGCACAATCCTTTTTTTAAAAGAATTGTATATTATGATTCAGCTTGATCCTTAATTAACATATGAATGGAGAGAATTCAGTGGTTCCTCATGGTCCCAGAGACTGAATTATGTTCATTACAGCGTGCTGGGATCAAACCTGAGTCGGGCAGTGTGGAGGACATGTTACAGGGCTTCAGAGATTTCAAACATCGCGTGCCAACATATGGTGGCCTTCTTTTAAACCAGGACCTAAGTCATGTTCTCTTAGTTCAGGTCATCCATCCATCCATCCATCCATCCATCCATCCATCCATCCATCCATCCATCCATCCATCCATCCATCCATCCATCCATCCATCCATCCATCCATCCATCCATCCATCCATCCATCCATCCATCCATCCATCCATCCATCCATCCATCCATCCATCCATCCATCCATCCATCCATCCATCCATCCATCCATCCATCCATCCATCCATCCATCCATCCATCCATCCATCCATCCATCCATCCATCCATCCATCCATCCATCCATCCATCCATCCATCCATCCATCCATCCATCCATCCATCCATCCATCCATCCATCCATCCATCCATCCATCCATCCATCCATCCATCCATCCATCCATCCATCCATCCATCCATCCATCCATCCATCCATCCATCCATCCATCCATCCATCCATCCATCCATCCATCCATCCATCCATCCATCCATCCATCCATCCATCCATCCATCCATCCATCCATCCATCCATCCATCCATCCATCCATCCATCCATCCATCCATCCATCCATCCATCCATCCATCCATCCATCCATCCATCCATCCATCCATCCATCCATCCATCCATCCATCCATCCATCCATCCATCCATCCATCCATCCATCCATCCATCCATCCATCCATCCATCCATCCATCCATCCATCCATCCATCCATCCATCCATCCATCCATCCATCCATCCATCCATCCATCCATCCATCCATCCATCCATCCATCCATCCATCCATCCATCCATCCATCCATCCATCCATCCATCCATCCATCCATCCATCCATCCATCCATCCATCCATCCATCCATCCATCCATCCATCCATCCATCCATCCATCCATCCATCCATCCATCCATCCATCCATCCATCCATCCATCCATCCATCCATCCATCCATCCATCCATCCATCCATCCATCCATCCATCCATCCATCCATCCATCCATCCATCCATCCATCCATCCATCCATCCATCCATCCATCCATCCA